TTTTGGTGGCTGGCTGGTAAATTTTTTATCATCTGTTAGAGATACATAATAAGGTAATTACAGGAGAAATGATATATGTATATATATTTTTTTTTTGGGGGGGGGCTGGCTGGTACAGGGATCTGAGCCCTTGACCTTGGTGTTAAAAAGCGGCACCGCAGCCAACCCAGGAAATCATATCATCTCTAGGATTTACTTTAGAGTATGTGGGGGTGGGGGGAATGTGGGAGGAGTCCTAGATGAAAAAAGACTGGCAAAATATTGGTAACTGTAGAAGCTGAGTGATAAGTACCATGGGGCTCATTACACTTTCTACTTTTGTATGTTTGAAAATTTCTGTAATAGAAAGATTTGAAAATTCACATCTTCATCAATATTAATTGAATATGCAGTTGATGTGTAAGAAAAAATATGGACTGCGCTTAAGATTCTTATGGTTTATCTCAGATAACAGTGAAAACTTTGTCAAAGATTAGATAACCAGTCCCTACATAGACTAGGCCTAAAATACAACTCTTAATTTAGGAACCTCCATTGTGGACAGGAAGGGGCTGGGGAATTGCCACTTGAAAAACCTACTTCCCAATTCCTCTCTGCCAAAGGGTCCTTATTTCCTTGCTCTTTATCCCACCACATTGCTTGCAGCTTCTGAAACGCTGGACAACTGCCTCTACAAACTCACAAAAATCTTTCTTTGCTGCCTGCCTCAAAGGGGCAACTGCCTTTTAGGTTCATTGTTAGTTGCTTGTTCAAACTGTTTTGTTGTTGTGGCTGGCTGGCACAGGGATCTGAACCCTTGACCTTGGTGTTATAACACCGCACTCTAATCAACAGAGCTAAACTGGCCAGCCCTAAATAAGCTTTGTTATAGTGACTGTTCTATCTCTTGGGACAACTAGGCCAATCTTTGTGTGGAGTGGGGGCATTATTATTAATATTTTCGTACATTTTTAAAATCGACTTCTCATGTACATACAGAATTCCCTAAGTCAATGTGAAAGTTAATGGCTTTTTTAAAAAAAAACAACATGACCTGATGTGTACCTTGTGCTTGGTATAATGGCATAAGATATATTTAGGAGGTTACATTTTAGTATTTTTAAGAGGGCTATTTTATTTTTTCTAAGAAAGTGAAACAAATATCATTTTAAAGAATAGTGCTTTATTGAATAAGTTTTATTCACAGAAAAATAAGCTTTGATCTACAACAAATGCCAGATTTCACAGCGGAAAGCAATTTTCTTAGTTTTCCATACTGATGGAAAGGTTCCTACTAATGAAAAAAAGTCATAAAATTATATTCACAAATATAGTCTTCTGTCTCAAACATTTCATGATTATTCACAATACTAATACAATGACATAAGAATCATTCTGTCAAGTTAAAGTATAACAGCAATGAAAAAATGCAAAATCTACACTAAAGCCTTTGTTACATCAAATCAAAAATGCAAATTTGTTACTAAATATAGACAAAATGATAAAATATAGAAGTAACTTTAAATGTTACATTAATGATACATAAGAATGTAGTAAATGCCAAAAATCTATATGCATATCTACAAACTTTAGACTTCAAAATAGAATCTTACCACCCAAACATTAATGTAGTATTGTCCAATTTGAAGATACATGTATTTAAGATTGTCCTATTGTATTTGTTATAAAGTGTCATTTAATATGTAATGAGGGCCGAGCCCATGGCACACTCGGGAGAGTGCGGCGCTGGGAGCGCAGCAACACTCCTGCCACGGGTTCGGATCCTATATAGGAATGGCCGGTGCGCTCACTGGCGGAGCGCAGTGTGGGCAACACCACACCAAAGGTTGCGATCCCCTTCCCGGTCACGAAAAAGACAAAAAAATAAGGAATGAAAGTATGGCATAGTAGAAGGAAGAGCTGAAAAAATAAACATTTGAGACCTCCCAGAAGAGGCAGTTTGGTGAAGTTTTTCACCTTCAAACTATGTCCTAGTCAGGGCTCAAATTACCTCACCTTTGAGCCTCAGTTGCCTCACCTGTAAAATTAGGGGAGTAAATTGGATACTCTCTAAGGTCACTTCTAGCTCTGAAAAAGAAAATTATGCTGAGAAAGATATTCACATTGTGTTCAAGAGTACAAGTATAAGAGTCAAACTGAAACATTATTAAGATTGGAATAAGCTGGGCCGGCCCGTGGCTCAACTTGGGAGAGTGTGGTGTTGATAATACCAAGGCCACAGGTTCGGATCCCTATATAGGAATGGCCGGTTTGCTCACTTGGGAGAGCATGGTGCTGACAACACCAAGTCAAGGGTTAAGATCCCCTTACCGGTCATCTTTAAAAAAAAAAAAAAAAAAGACTGGAATAAGCCAATTGTTTCTATTAGGAAAGCTCAACTAAATTTGATAAGAATAAGTTTTCCAAATTTTTAAGAAAAGAATTTAAATATTATTAAGGGCTTGACCTATTTATTTATTGTAATTTATATTTTAACTAATTTAGCTAAAAAGAACTACATCTGTCAAATATTCCTTCTCATTTTCCTATTTCTCTAATGGCAATGACACGCAACCTATCCCATTTCTCCCACCCCCTCTGACCCTTTCCCCATTCAAAAACTGGGTAATCAGGAAATAAAACAATGATCTGCATCTTAAAAGTACAATATCTGGCCGGCCCGGTGGCGCACTGCTACAGTGCGCCGCTTGGGAGCGCGGCGGTGCTCCCGC